ATAGTTGACACTGTACTGTATAGGTGAAAATTGCTGATAGTAGATCTGAAGTATTATCAAAAACATTGTAGTAATCATTTCACAGTGTATACATATATTAAATCATCATATGTATACATTGAATATAAAACAATTTTATTCTTTAATTATACCCCCAAAAAACTAGAGGGAAAAGAGAAAAAAAGGAAATCCACATATGACTCGGCTCTCTTTGTCTATCAGGCATTCTCTAAAAAGTGCTACATTTATCATTTCATTTAATCATCAAAACAGTAGTTTTTACAATAAGGGTATAAGTACTAGAATATGATGATTTTATGGATGGGAGTGGGGAAGCACAAAGAGGATGAATGATTTTACCAAGGACACATATTAGCAAAGATTAGAACCATAATTCAAGTGCTGGCAATCTGACTCCAGTTGGGAACTCTTAAGCACTATCATCTTCTAAGGTATCACAAAGTAATCTCTCTCAAAATATACTGGCCAGACCTTAGACTAAGGAGGCTAGTGATTCAGTGAAATAACTAGTAGTCTCTCTTCTTTTTTCCAAAAACTGACTGCTTATTTCATTCAATTTACTGAATCAAACGGTAACAACACATTCTGCATTAGAATTAATTATACACAAAAATCACAAATGAATGGAAAATAATAAGATGACTGTAGGTATAGGAAACAGTAGACATATCATATGCAAGTTATTTAGGGAGAATATAGTGAGGAAAACCTCTCTGAGATTAAATGACTTGCCCCTGGCAAGGATCCCAAGTACTCTATTTCCCAAATTGTCTCTAGGGATTTAGACATCAGTATTTATTATTGTTTTTAATTCCCACAATTAAAACACCTATCATGTGTTTTAAAGTAAGTTTATGACAAAATGGCAAAAATATACTAGAATTCAATAAAGTAAAGTTTAATACTCCCAAATTTGGTGGGTTTCATTCTTCCCCTCCATGATTTAGCAGCACATCGAGATATTCATGAGCCAAACTGCAGAGCAGCTCTGCACAGCATTTCCTCTCTAGTCTGCTTTCTCTGAATTCACTGGCCAGATATTTTTAAATTTCATACATCATTTCCAATTAGCTGTGTTGATTCTGTAGCCATTACCAAGCTCAGCCTGAGAACCCAAAAAGAACACACACCAGCATATAGACACATGCATTTGACATTGTCACAGCTAGTGCAAAATGATTCAAGTTCACTGCACAAACTATGTCATGAGCTGGAAAAGTCACAGACCCAGAATATAAAGTGCCGAAGACCTAATTAATCTTTGTATTTGTTTGTTTGCTGAAGCAAGTTGGATATGATGCCAATTCAAAATAAGTCTCAGGCATTGTGGAAGTCATATAATTAGTTGAGAAAACTCAAAGCAAAAGTTCTTTTAATAGTGTGTGTCAGGTACACACGTGCTTGATAGTTACAAAACTTAACAGTCTCATTTAGTAGACTCCTTGTCAGTCACAAAGTTGAATTTTATGCTTTTCTTGAGACAATGAATGATGATGAGAAAAATCTCATTTACTTTGGAGTTTGAGGTTATTTTTAAAACCTTTTGTCTTTTTGTTGTATTCTTTTTTCCCCATCCCAGGTACCCAGTAGGGAGAACAAAATCACTGAGATTTTTCAGTGTTTATATATTTATATCATGTAGTCCATCCTCATATGCTATGCCCATTGCATAAAATGTGTTCTTTGTGAGATATATGTCTAGGACAAATTCAATCAGTAAGGATTATCCCAAGAAACAGAACCAATAGGATTTATATATGCATGAGGACCCTCAAAAAATGAATTACCTTCTGGAGGGAAATCCCCTTGTAGTACAGGTTTCCCCTACTAGGTGAGTGTTCTAGGATCCCATCTATATTAATGTGCCAGTTGGTGGTGTTGTGAGAGGTTGCACCTTGCTTCAGTGAATTTTTTTTTGAAGACTCTTTCAATGTATTTGCCCATTTCATGACAGGTGATTTACGAGCACATCTGCCCACACTGTCCCTAGTGTTTAGCAGTTTTTGTCCCAAAAATGGCATGGCCCCCATGCCCCACCCTCCCTATTCACCTGATCTCACCATGAATTACTTTATTTTATTTCTATAGATGAAAAAATTCCTCAAAGGGAAACATTTTCTGGTGTGGAATAGGTGAAACAAAATAGCAGAAGCATTAAAAGGCATCAAAATCAATGAGTTCAAAATCTGTTTTAAGCAGGGGGGAAGGTCTCCATAGGTGTATTATAGCAAATGCAGAATACTTAGAAGGTGACTAAAGTTTAAACATGTAAAATAAATACATGATTTTTTTACAAATTTATGGGTTTTGTGCCCCCCCATATGTTTATATATCTACAAAGAGAGACTGATTTTTTTTTTAAGGAACTGGCTCAGATGATCATATGCTTGTGGAGAATAGCAACTCTGAAATTTGTAGAGAAGCTAAGCAAGATAGAAATTTAGGTAAGAATTGATGTTTTAGTTTTGAGTCCGAAATCCATAGGACAGGCTAGCAGACTAGAACCTCAAGTGATTTCTATGCTGCAGCCTTGGAACAAAATGTCTTCTTTAGGAAACCTCAGTCTCTGCTTGTAAGGCCTTGAACTGATTAAATGGAATCCACCCACATAATGGAGGGTGATCTGCTTTAAAGTCAACTAATTGTAAATTTGTATCACCTATACACATAATTTCACATTCATATTTAGACAAATGTTTGACCAAGCAAACAATTGTGCACCAAACCTTAGACAACTCGACACATAAAACTACCCACCACACCGCAAACACACATGCACACAAGTGCATATACACACAACACTGTTTTCATTATTGCTATGTTGTAAACTGAGCTAAGTACATTGGTTTCTTTAAGAACAATTTAAATAACTTATTTTTAGTAGTGAACACTCATGAATTATTAAATAAAATAAGACTTGCTCTACTGGCTTTTGGAAGAGGTGTGTTCTTCCTTTCACTGTAATTATATGAAGTTAATATGCTAACCTACTGATAATGAAGTAGGAATCCTCTAAGAAGGTTGTTTTATTTTTCTACCATTCGTGGGGGCTGAGCTTTCCAAACATATAAAATGCTTAGGCAGCTTTACTTAGCTAATAGCACTGAAGGTGAATCTATTCCATGGAGCATTCATCTTACTGGCAACTGGCCAACACTACTTGAACCAAGGGAAAACCTCTAAAACTAAAATATTTACCTAATACCATCTTGAAAACGAAACACCTTTGTCCCTCCAAAATATTTGACTAGTTGTTTTAATGATTGAAGGCTACAGGAATACCATTTTGGACAGCGTTTATATTATACAGTTTGCCATCCATGACACAGATATGAAGAGCCTTAGAGAGTTTACCTATATAGTTACAATGTGATGGCAGATGACCTTTGGTATCCACCACCTGTTATATCTGGATCAGCATTTGAATTTGAAACCTTATACTGTAATGATTAGTTAGTGGCCAATTTTCTTCATTTACTTTTGAAGTTTATGTTAATAAACATTTTATCTAGAAAATCAATGCTCTTTGCCTAAGTTATCAGCTTTATCTATTTCCCTTAGAAATTAAGAGAGATTTCTTTATCTATTTTGTACCTCTTGATCAAAATCTAATTTATATCAATAACAAACTAAGGTTACAATTTAACTTAATCTCAGGCAATTAAAACACATACTTTATTAAATCTTGGTCATGCCCATTAAAATTAATTGAGACCTTAGCCCTTTGCTGGACTCTTTCTTAATGAGCTTGGAAGAAAAGATAATAAATCCAGCAAACAAGATCTTTAATGAATGTGATACATATCTCTTTTGGTTGGTTTAAACTGAAATCAATTTTCTATTTCTACTTTATACTTTAATGATTATTTTCCAGGAAATGTCTATGTACTTTTTAAAACTTAAAAAAGTATTTTATTTGCCAAAAAAAGAAAATAATAGTGCTATGACAACACAAGAGAAAACAATTTATAGAGATAGTATCCATTTAAAGGTCAGATTTTGCTAGTTAAAGGGACAGCCTAGCCAGTGGATTATTAAAAGCTTCATTAACAGTAAATGAATTGCTGGATACAGTCATGCTCTTGCACAACTGATAAACCAGGGACAGTATTTATCCACTTATAGTTTAAGTCTTATGCTCACAGTTCTCAAGTGATTTCATTAGACAGGTGAACTGGATAGTATGTGACAGAGTTTTTCCTCTTGGAGTTTGGTATATTTTATGCACATTAAGTCTGAAGAAGATCCAAAGTAATCTGTACCTCTAATATGATTTCTGAATAACTAGATTTTAGTAACTGAGGGAGCTGAAGAGTTGATACATATTGCATTCACTTTTCTAATCTCTTGTATATATACCTAAATACTGTAGTATTACATTCAGTGAACTCCCTTTGTATTTAGTAATAAAATTTGCAAATATAATTATATTTCAAAAAATAAAACATATAATGACACAATAAGAATATATAACCACATTACTAAAACATTGGAAAAACTCTCACCATGTTTGCAAGAGTAGTCATGCATTCAACCAACCAATTACCATGAACACATGTAAGCAACTACCTTATATTAAGTCATGGACATTTAACTTCTACAGTTCTGACCCTGACCTTCTCTATCTTCTAAGTAGTGAGAAATATTATTAATTCCTTTTTCTTCCTCCCAATTAAATAGGCAGAGTGGAAGAACTGGAAAGTTGCATTGTTCTTTCCTTAGTCTGGGTCTAAGGTATTGGGAACAAATGATGCACTATGGAAACATGCCAAACTTTTTGACACCAGCAATTCAAGAAATGCTTCTCTACTAAATTATCTCACTAATTCTGGAACATCAAAATCTATTCTGCCTTTTTCACATTTAGCCTTACTATACTAATAAAAGTATAGACAGATAGAACCAATAGCTCCCTGAAAATATCAATGAGGTCTAGACAGACAACTCAAGAACAGTTTTTGTTATCAATCAAGCAATTAATATTTATTGAGTATCTCGAGGTGCTTTGGGTGTCATCTTTATGCAGAGGCCATGCTAATCTCCATGTCATTCCAATCTTAGTATATGTGCCGCCAGAATAAGCAATGGAGGGTGCTTTGGGAGTAAAAGTTTTATGAGTTACACATCACACACATGAAAAATATAAACTTTTAGTTTTTCCCTTCAAAAATATAAAGCTAAATTACTAGGACTAAATATCTTCCATGATGACACAGAAAACTTTCTCCAGTCTACTGACTTAATACACATTTTTATTCTGTAGGTCACAGAATAAAAAGCAGTAATGTTGCACAGTATACCTAAAGTGAATATTCAGGCTATACTACTATTTAGTGAAGTATCAAACTAAGCCATAGTTTTATGTACATATTAACCTAGGGAATATTGTGGTAATGTATCTTAGATTGGTGTCTCTCAACACTCACTGAATAGTGTCAACACTGTATACAGTGAATAATTAAAATATTGTGGCCATGCCTTGCCTTGGAAAAAGCTTGTATTAGAGAATTAGAGTAGATTCTTCTGTACAGCAAGTGAGATCAGAGCATATTAAAAAACAGAAGACTTGGAAGTTCCCAAAGCACACAAAATAGAAACATAATGAGCCATCTGTGTTGTTTACATATAAATGTACTGTTTAAAAAATCACTTTTGAATGAATAGAAGCATATACTATCTTGAGTACAAGAAGCATTCTGAAAAGTATACAAACTTTGTCAAAATTCTTTATTGAATAATTCAGACAACCTGTTCATGTAACAGATATGTCAATATTGCATAAATTCCTTGCTTCATTCATTGGTACTTTTAACAAAATGATTCTTCATAATCACAGAAAAGTATTAACTAAGTGAAATGAGTAAAGATTTCTTTTTTAGTTCATATGACTGTGTCAAAGACATTTCAAACAACCACAAGTCAAGTGAAATATGTTCATCAATCTACCACAAGTCAAGTGAAATATGTTCATCAATCTCACTTTTTCATAGATGAAGTGCTACTGTACATTCAGTAATTATCGGATTCCCTTTTCTTTTTAGAGACATAATTTTTCACACGTGTAGAATTTAAGAGGAAGAAAACAACAGTACACCAGACAAACATTTCATAAATCTGGACTTATTCTCATGTAAACTAATAAAATTTCCTGAGAAATTTTAAAGAAAATGACAACTAAGAATCTAACCCTTAAATAGTTTTAATGCAATGTCTATTTAGCCTAAAGTACAGTTTAAGTTGAACAACACATTATTGATTTCTGTCTAGATGATCTATACATTGTGAATGTGGGTTATTGAAGTCCCTTTTCTGTTATTTTACTTTTGTCTATTTCTACCTTCAGATCTCTTAATACTTAACATATCTAGGTATTCCAGTGTTGGGTGCATATATGTTTATGATTGTTATATCTTCTTGATGAATTAACACCTTATCATTATATAACGACCATTTTTATCTTTTGTTTCCATTTTTGCCTTAAAACCTGTTTAGTCTCACCCTGTTCTATTTTGGTTTCTACCTGTATTATTAATAGTTTTCCATCTCCACTTTAAGTTTTTATGTGTCCTTAAAGCTGAAATGAGTCTATTTTATATTTTTATATTTTATGTTCTCATTAGTACATATTTATACTTTTGCTATATGTATATTTCATTTATATCAAATAGCAGAAAAAAGGTGTTACAAAAATACGTGTAAATTGTAATTTATATTTACCTATGTAGTTACCTGTAGTGGTACTTTTTGTTTCTTTATATGAATTTCCTTCACTATCTAGTGTCATTTCGTTTCAGCCTGAAATACTCCCTTTAGTATTACTTAGAGGGTAGTTCTCCTATCAACAAATTTTCTCAATTTTTGTTTTTCTGGAAATATCTTAACTTTTTTTAAATAAAAGTTTTCTAGACATCAAATTCCTGATTGATGTTCTTTTAAAATAATTTTAATGTGTTACTGTAAAATTTCTGTGTCTCTTTTCTTATAATTTCTATTCTTTATATTTTCTCTTAGGTGAGACATTATTCTCATACTTACTTTTAGTGCTTTAGACAACTTTCTTCTTAGCACATACTTAAAATAGCTTATTTATAGCTTCTTAATATCTATATCTATAGCTTCTTAAGGACAGTTTTTATCAACTGCTTTGTTTCCTATGTATGTCATACATTCTTGTTTCTTTACACATTTTATAATATTTACTTATGATTGTATATTTTATATAATATAGCAATGATGCAAATCAGATTTTCTGCTTCTTCTGGTTTTGTTGTTGCTGCTTGTTGATTTTATTATTCATCTACTTAATGGCCTTCCTGAACTTATTCTACATGAGTTTTACTTATTCTTTATTTTTCTGTTTCTTTGTTCTTTATCTTGTGTGGTCACTGAAACCATTAATCAGATACCTTAGCCAAAAACATATATTCATAACTCACAGACACAGACAACAGAGTGGTGATGGCCAGAGGAATGGATGGTGGGGGCTAGGTGGAGGTGAACAAAAGTGGGGAAAATGTAGACATTTGTAACAGTGTCAATAAAAAGAAAGAAAAATATGATTGCACAGATATTTCATTAAGTTTCTGAAACCAATACATCTTCCATTCTTTTTTGATAAGCTCTGTCTGCATGGTGGAAAACACCTTCACCACTCCCAAGGCTGAGAGTTCTTACTATATTTTTTTAACATATGAATATATTTTCTCCAAACAACCTTTGGTTAATTTTCAGTGCTAGTTAAAAATCTATACCATAGCCACCACTTCCTGCTTGCACAAAGCCTCAAAGTTAGTCAGCCAAGATTAAGAATTTAGGGCAGTCTCAGGTCTAGCCTTGGTATGCCCACAGATCTGAGCATGTGCATAGCTTTACGCATATACATTTTCTTCCAGTTGTACAGAAATATTTTGGAGCTTCTCAAAGGCCTCTATAGACTTCTCATTTGCCATATTTCCCAACTTTTTTTTTTTAAGTTTTTCGGTTACCTTGTTGTTTGCCCCAGCTATTGTCTCCATCTTAGTTAGGCAGCTGTAATATCAAACAAGTCTCACTGAATATCTTAGACAGGTATCCCTGATAATTTCTTTTGCTTAACTGTAACACAAGTATAAACACAGAAATAGATAGAAATAACAACCTAGTAATAAGAGTAATATCATATAGATATGGAATCTTGGAGGGCCATTTTTTAAAATTCTGCATATTATAACATCTGATTCAGAATGTAATGTGCAGGTAGGTGCTTATCATAAAAATCAGATACAGTGGGGTCCTTAAAAACAGGGACTATATCTATTTCATATTTTTAGATCCAGCAGCTAACATAATGCCAGTCCCAAAATAGGGTCTTCATAAGTGTTGTTGGATGAATTGAACACTTAACATGATAATAAAGAAAGCAAAAGCTATAAAATAAAAGGGTAGTTAAATTAATTAATAACTATAAATAAATGAAGAACATGGTTATGTACTCACATTGTATTTACTACAGGCAGAAGTCAAATGAGTGTTATATTTTATATAATATAAAAATAGGTGCTAGTAGGTGATTAAATTGAGCACATAGCTTAAGTAGCTAGACATTCATACAGGAAGTTTACAATAAATTCAACATAGTTTTGTTGATTATTCACTAAGTCAATACTACAAATTTTAATATTTTCCAAGATGTATATTATTAAATGAACCAATTAATAGTAGTATGCTTTTTAAAAGTCTGCTTTTGTTGACTCTGCTTAGGTGTTTTTCCTAACTGCTCAGAGATGTTATAATAACAGTTGCTTTTTCTTTGCTATAAGTTAAATATTATATATGCAAGCATAGTTTGATTGAAAATATGAAACCTTTTCTAGACATTCCTATTTTTTATATTCCCTGCCCTACATGAGAAGCACATCTACATCAAGAAGACTATTCTTGTACTTTTCTGAAAAAGTAAAATTACCCATTAAAAACTACCAAAAACAGATGCAAAATGCATGCATGTGCATACATCTTTATAGAGGATAGTATGGTTTGCTGCCCATAAATTCCTCCCTTCTTCTAGAACTAAACATTTATTTTTCCAGCTGCTCTGAACATTGGTGTCCAACAGCTAGCAAGTGTGTGCATTTCCAAAACTTATCCTGTCCTAAATTAAGCTTCCATGCCTATGGTCACTCCCCTTTCCAGGGGGTAGCCCATATCCAATGGGTAGTTGATGAAAGGGTATAAAATGTGGTTTCCCTCCTCTCAATTCAAGATAATTATGAAATGCCATACCATTTTTTAAATTTCCCCATGGCATCATCTGGGCCCTTTATTATAACTGCTTCAGTGTCCTTCTCTCTTTGCCCAATACTGCTTCCTTTACACCCTGACATGACCTGTATTGTTGCAGAGAGTATACTGAAATAAAGTGTCTATTAGAATTTGCTTTCCAAGTAATCTAATGTGTAACACCCCTATAGCTATCTGAAGCATCATCAAATTACTTTACAATTAAAAAATTCTGTGTAATTTTGTTGCACGGGCTTTTTTATATGTTGAACAAAATTGTACTCCTCATAATAGTCCTAACTCAAAATGAGCTGATTTAGTCCACATATACAATGAAGTAATAGGTGGAGAAACCAAAATAATCCATAGCATTAAGTGTACTAACAGCTGGATAAAATATACAAGAAGTTAAATCTAATACTACTGGCATATAGATATCTAGAGATAGTTTTAGAAATTAACTATAAATGTGAATTCTCAAGAAATGTACAAATATAGAGAAACAGAAAAGCAGAGGACAAACATATTACATTTCTTTGTATGTAACACCCAATTACAATTGGCCCCATCTTGATTCCTTACTCAGCTGATGTACTCTAATGGCAAATAGCCCATCATCACCTTTCAATCAGTAATAACCTTGGCATCGTACTTGCTGTCTTTCATTTAAGTTTTCCAAACATAGATTTCTATGGCACCCAACTGCCATATCGTATTATCTGACAATAGATTGATTTAGTGATGATCTAGCACAGTGTGTGCTGACTAGACATTGTTCTTTTTCCATCCAATTTCCCTAACGGTGGTTATTATTTTATGTTAATTCA